ACTGGATTAAATCAGAGCAGACAAAAAGCCAGGACAATAAAATGATCCAGTCTGCCTCTTCAATGAACAAATAAGAAGACATGTAAATGACACCGCAGATGGATAACATCTCCGTCCCTCTGCCTGTATCTGAACGGTGAAAAAGACAAAAGCCAGAGTATGTGGCCTAATTGTAAAAGTAAAATACTTCCACTGATTTGGTTTGATAACAGACAGTGACCCCTGCTGTCAGGAAGGTGTAAGGAGCTAAAGTAATTAACTGTGGCACAGTCCTTTATCTTAATTACAACTGAGAAAATAGTATAGATTAACATGCAGAAGGATCAAATGTAACAACTTGACTTTTAAAAGACAGGCAGGCTGGTAGTGTCATTTTGAAAACAAACTAATACTGTCGTTATTGGGGTAGATATAGGGGGAGGCTATCTTAGATAAAACGTACATTTTAAAATGTCGTTTTACTATGTCTAGGTTCTTTAACTCAATGCATTACACCTTAACATTTCTGCAAGGGACACAAAAAATGCCTATTTTGCTTCTTCATTTGAGGTAAAGTAAATATTGAAATATGATAAATTATCTTTCTGGCAAAGAAGAAAAGAGAGAAAAGAGAAAGAGCATCAGTGGTTTGTGTCCTTGAGCAAGACACTGAACCCCACATTCCTCCAACTTGTAGACATAAAGTAAACCACAATATGGAAAGACACTCACACACCCCCAAAGCACACTCCATTAAGTACCTCAGTTGTGTTTTGAGCTCAGTGAAGCGTGGCCTCTTGCTGGGATCATACGACCAACACTTTGTCATCAAGCTGTACAGAGTAGGAGGGCACTGAGGGGGCATCGCCAGGCGCTCGCCGTTCTCTATCCTGCCGATGACGTCGTTGTTCTTCACACCTTGGAAAGGCTTGATGCCGAACATGAGGATCTCCCACATACAGACGCCTATGGAAAGACAGAAAAACAGAAAAAGTCAGTCACTATGAGACTGAGACGGCAAGAAATTGGCTCTTAAATGCTGCAAAATGCTGAGAGTAAAGAGTAAAAAAGATTCAATCTAAACATATTTATTAAAACCTTACATTTGAACCCACAGAAATGCAAAGAAGAAAGCATGTCAACACATTTAACTCACCAAACATCCAGACGTCACTGGCTGTGGTAAATCGCCTGAAGTTGATGGATTCAGGAGCCATCCATTTAATAGGTAGTTTACCTTTAGAAGCTGAAACACAGAAATCAGAAGGACGGTGTTACACTTTAATGATCAGCTAAAATCATGTCAGTCCAATGAATAATAATGCTGATTTGCTCCATAGGTTATGAGGATCAAAGATGGTTAAAAGGACACGGTTAAGTGAGGAATTATCAGGAAATGGTGTCTTTTTAAAGGTGTTATATTTACCTTTATAATAAGAACTATCTTCCATGTATCGAGACAAACCAAAGTCCCCCAGTTTTACACAGTCGGCTGTGGAAACCAATACGTTCCGTGCTGCGATGTCCCTGAGGAGCGTAGAACAAAAATGGGAGGAAATCCAAAACACTTCGACATTTATTTTATTTATTTACATGACCAAACATTTCTCACCTGTGGCTTCTTGAAAAACATCATGATAATATCATTATTTTAGATTTTCGGGAAATCACATGCTTGGAGTTGGTGACAATATTTGTTTCCCCAATTCCCAATTTGTCTCCATTTTATTTAAAAAATTTAATTAAATGAGACATACGCTGTTCATTGTGATCTTCCAATAAGGTTGCAATGCTGGACTATGGTTCGAAGGGAATATCTATTTTCCATAAACTAATATTGTTTCTTTATAGGTTGAATCAAGCCCAATTTAAAAAGCAACTATATCATTGTAAATGTATATGATATGAGACTTTTATACATACCTGTGTACAAAGCGCTTGCTCTCCAGATAGGCCAGTGCCGTGCTGAGCTGGGATGAGTATAAGATGAGAGAGGCCAAGTCCAGACTGTACTTCCTCACCTGGAGGAAGGACCGCAACTGTGGAGGAGGAAGAAAACAAACACAAACAAAGGGATGAGAGAAGGAGAGGGAGAGAGGAACAATTAGATGGTGACAGAGTTACAGAAATCAGGAAAGGTAGAGGTAGACAGGGATATGAGAAATTGAGATAGATGGGCAGAACAAGAGGAATAATAACAACAGTTATCAAACAGTTTTATAAATCAAACTGTGCCATTACTAGAATAAAAAGGAACTATGCAAGATAAATTAACGGGGACATTATCGTTTATGTCAACAACAGATTGTGTGACGTGGTCCATGTGGGTGTATTTGACTTAGGCAGTAGATGACCAGTTGGCAGCTATTCTGCTGCAGATACATGTGTTGTGATGCATCATAAGCTCAGATGTTCCTTAAAATGTGCATATAAGGAAAACCAATATCTCAAACTAATGAAAACAGAAATATAAACCGAAACAAATGCAATTCTTTTGTACTTATTAACATACTTTTACAGAGGAATCTTCTTACTTTCCTGCTCGATTTTGTCCTTACATCCCAATGTTGTTGTTTAATGCTAGAAGACACTTATCTAAACAACTGAACGAAGAATTTTAGACATACATTTATTTCAAAAACAGACTAAGGGTTTTGTGCTGCAATTTATTGTATAATCTGAATTCTGCCATAAAGTTTAACCTGATAAATTCTCTCTTGCTGTTTGACAAACAAATGTGTCAAAACAAGAAACACTTTCGAGGTATATTTTGTACCAAACGATTACTCCAATCCTATTTTAAACACATGCACATCCATGTAATCCAGCGGATAATGAACACCCTTATAGGAGTTGATATCAGTGTCGTACCTCTCCGAGTGTGCAGAGCTCCATGATGATCCACACTGGATTCTCTGTGATGACTCCCACCAGCTTCACGATGTGCGGGTGGTCAAACTGACGCATGGTCACTGCATGGAGAGAAGTTCAGATCATTAGCAGCCTGCATGATTTTCTGTAGTTTTCTGAAAAGTATTGAGTGAATTGTTAGCAGGTAACATTTGAGAAACACACACGAGGACCTTACATGCTTCTTGGAGAAACTTTTCCCTGACGCTGTCTGACGTTGAGTTCTTACACGTCTTCACGGCCACAGTGAGGTCCGGGTTCTCCTGCAAAAAACAGAAGTGAAGAAAATGATCAGCATTACAACAGAAGCAGCTGCATTCAGCAAATTCACTGCCTATTAAAATACACTCAGCCTATTATTTGTTTGTTTATCATATAATAACATGTAATGATGAGATTTATAGGTTAATCCTCATGGTTTATGAGTGGCAAGTCCATCCCATCACTTCCTTTTTCTACAACTATACTGTGCAGTTATTGTAACGTGAGTTCAAGCTCAGTTTATTCTTTGAAGTCTAGCTTCAAAGCGACTTTGCAAGAGGGTGAGAGAGAGAACAAAGATAAAAGAGGTTAGCAAAAGACTGCATTAATTAAACACACAAAACGTATAATAAGGCCAGAAGCAGATTTAGATTTCTTTCGTAAGATGTTTTTTTAAATCTACTACTATTGTACATTTGCAATGTGTTTGAATGTATAATTTATGCAGAATAATGCATTTACATGTAAATGAAATTCTATAACGGGCTGTTTTAATTATATTATTCAGATATAAAGCTACTTTTCATCAAGAGCTACAGATATTAAAGATATTGCACCCTTACATGTGTGTGTGTGTGTGTGTGTGTGTGTGTGTGTGTGTGTGTGTGTGTGTGTGTGTGTGTGTGTGTGTGTGTGTGTGTGTGTGTGTGTGTGTCTGTGTGTGTGTGTGTGTGTGTGTGTGTGTGTGAGAAAGAGACATACCGGGCTGTTGTAGACTCCTTGATGGACGTCTCCAAACTGACCCTCTCCTATGCAGCGTCCCAACTCAATACGATCTCGCTGAATCTCATAGTCCCTTGCTATATACACAATAAACATAGACATGAACACAAAGATACAGACACACAAACAGATAGGACCTTTAGATGCAAAAAAAACACAGCAACTTAATCAGCCCTTGCATTTACTAAGCTTGCTAGAGTGATAAACAAACTTTGTTCATCTGAGCGACATTATCTGGTTTCATCGTTGTTATTCAAATGTAATTATTTCTAGATGCATAAAGTTAATTAACCTTTCTCCTCTGACAAGCTTAGTTTTAAAGCAATTAGCATAGCTCAATGTCATCAGCATGCAACAACAGCATCAGCAAACCACATCCAACATGCCATGTAACACAGAGGAACTACAGCCAGTAACACTCAGGGTATGTCTGAACACAAATGTCCACATTAAATGAAATGTAATATGGATAAAGTCAGGTCAATTGTACAACAGACAGGTTGGGCAGGGGTTCAAATCTCACAGAATAATCCAGGACAAGTTGTACATTTGCTTGGTCAAAAAGGAATATGTAGTGAGGCTAGTAAGGTTAAGCTAGTCGAAAAGCATCATTTTTGTATTCAGTTTTGAGGAAATAGGAATGAATGGGTCTGTGAAGGGTTGGCTGCTGAGAGGCTGGTGGTTTGCAGACACTGTTGACCTGACTTTGTCCATGTAATCAGCATATGAAAATAGCATATATGAGCATAAGGGATTTGACAAATCTCTGACTTCTCTTTTATTGTTTCGAAATGCCCAGCAAATGTGCGCCTTGAGACAACTACAGTACGCTGCGCAATAAAACGTCTTTAGTGGGAAGGAGACTAAATGGAGCTGCAACATACAGTAAGAGAAATCAGTCAGCCATAATTAATGCCTGTGGGCCCGGTCTCCAAATGTCGCCCATGTAACCTGATCTTAAAATAAGTCGATCTCTATGGTTAAACAATAGTGTGAGACTATCCTGTTTGTTTGTGGTTTGGCATAAATATATATAGGTTTCTTTTTTAAACCTTTCCTTCTCCTGACCAAAGTTGTAAATAGGAACATGCTCTCAGTCAACTTGCCTGCTTCAACGATATATAAAATGTTTTTAGTAGCTTAAATGAGCAGTCAGAGTTTCAACAGCTTGCCTTAAGTCAAGCGTGTATTAACTTTGCAATAATGTAAACTGAATAAAGTTGCAATATTTTCTTTGAAAACACGATCAATGTCCAACCACTGGGGTTCAGTTCTAAAGCTACCATCAACACCAGAGGGTGGGTGGGGCTCTTATCAACAGGGCAAGGAAATAAATCGAGTATTACGTTTAGGTTTACAGCAAGCAAACATAAAAGAAGGATCACAACAACCACCAAATCAAAGTGCCATCACAAAACAACCAGACTTAAGGTACGTTCCAATCATTACCTTGATCTAGTCCATAGTATTCTGGGAAACATGGGTTAGTGATAGGAGACAGAAATAACTAGCTGTGAGTACAGAGATCCAGAAACTGTGACTGCAGTCGATAACAATTGCTATGATTTTACTTTTGATGGTTTAGTTATGGGTACTGTATGTCAGTAACTATAGCCAGCACAACATTTTAATATCTAAAATAACTTGTCTTAGACTTTTGATGTATTTTGTCTGAAAGGGGTTATTTTTGTTATGTGAATAAAAGAAAAATAGCTAGCAACAAACACCCTCAGTCACCCCTAGCTGTGTTTTATCATACAAACCCAACTTTAACCCCAAAAGGACCTCTTTTAAATTTGATGGTAACCTGTGGTTTACCAATACGGATACTGCCACCCTGAGTCGAGACATGAACAGCTTAACGTTACCTTGGCTGACTTGTTTGAGTGTATTTAATAAATTAGATCACTTTTAACTAAATCAGCCATTTACTGATCTAAATGAATCCATTCAACATGTTTATCAAACTAGTAGATATCCTGGACACAGTGCTGTGTGAGAACACATTTAGCTGTTTTCTGTTTCGACTTGCTTGTTCTGTGTTTGTGAGTTTACATCTGCCCACAGGGCTTTGGTGAAAGCTATCATTTATGAATGGACAAAAAGCAAAGCCATGTTGATATTTTTGCTTGCATGTATCAACTTAAGCTCATGATAGCCAGGCAACATTTTAAGGCAGTTAACATCCCAGCTCCTTTTCGGTCATACATTAATGTGTTAAATCTCCTCTGCCTGCGAATGTTGCCTTTTTAGCATCACCTCTCAGCGTTTCGGTGAGCTTAATATGAAAAATCTTAAACCTGGTGGGCAGGCTCCACATGGCAGCAACAGCAGCACAGCAGGGCCCTCTTAATGTGTACTCTCATACATAATCCCATTTTCCGCAAAAATGCTGAGACCCCACTTCAAAAGACCCAAACTATCCCTTTAACGCCAAATACAACTCTACATTGTAGCTGTCGAGATGAACACTTATCTTAAAAAGGTGAATAGCAGGAGACAAAGCCTGTGAGAAAATGTTTACTGTACCGTAAACATAGCAGCGGGATAATATCTCAAAGTAGTTTGAGGAAGCCGAGACATCTCACTGACACAAATACAGTTTGCAAAATGTGGTTCAAGTGGTTTCCTCTTTTGTATTAGATGCTTCATGTGACCACGGAAAATGTTCATTCATTCAAGCGTCTGTTATTATCTTGCCTGCCATACACCAATATAAAGAGCATAATTTATAGCTAAAGTGTGAATAGATTTATAATTAGGTCCAACTTATAATTAGTCCAATACTCAAGAGGTCCAACAGGTGCACAATGATGACCAGGGGTGTTTTTCTCAACACCAGCTGCCTACAATGTTGTAATTGTGTGTGTGTGTGTGTGCGCGTGTGTGTGTGTGTGTGTGTGTGTGTGTGTGTGTGTGTGTACTTACTTGAAGGCATGGTATAGGTGTCCTCTTCATCTATGATTTCAGCATAGTCGTCCGTTTCTACAGAGCAAAGGGGTGAGGGAATAAAAGAACAGAGAAACATTTAGTCGAAGTTGGTTAAACTAAATAGAAATAATAACAGAGATAGAATTGCCAACAAGCTTACAAATGACACTACACTTTGATTTAACATGCTGAGCCATATGGACAGATTCTTAATTACTACTTGAAAGCTATCAGACAAAACATAAACCAACTCAGGAAGCTCTGCCAACATCTTTAAATAAAAGAAATGAGTGAAAAAGGCAAAAGTAACCATCATCACACAGATGTACCTTTCCAAAAGATCCTCAATATGCCCAAATCCAAACACATTAACAGCAATTTCAAAATGCATTTACTATAAAACAGCCAGAGTGAGAATGTAGGACAGAAGAGTACAACAGAGAGAGAGGGACAGAAAAGAGGAAAGGGGAGGGATGGAAAAGTCATTCTTTCCACAGAAACAAGTTACAGAATAACAGGTTGAGTCATGGATAAGGCTGAAACAGTTACAGGCAGATACAGAGATATATACGCACATACAGTAGGCTCAAAATACTATTGAGTCACTAATTCGGGTTAATAGAAAGAGGGTTTACCATCGCCACTAGTCTGACCTGCAGAAGCAGCATGAAATACACACAGGGGGAAAGAAAGGATTAGTTTTATTGTTAAAATGTATGAGAAAAAGGTCAGTGATATGATTTATTAACTCAGTGCTATAGCTAGTGCTATGGTCTTTTTCATTTATCTGTGTGTAACGTTGAGTTAGTCAGAGGTCAGTAGGCAGTGAGAGGAAGAGACAGTGACTAAAGCTCTCCATGGGGACATCTGGCGAGACAAGGACTCTTCACTGCACACACAGATGAGGCTTTATAGAGGGAGCAGCACGCATATCTATGCGGCCTTTATCTGACTGCTTGTCACTGTCATTCCTGACATTTAGAGCAGAAGACAGACAGGAAAATCGACAGGGGAAAAACAGACAAAAAGGAAAGGAGAAAGCGGGACAAGCATTTATACCTGAGACACAAACAGCTCTGGTCCGTACTCCTTCCATCCGCTTTTCCATCCGCCTCTCATGATTTGAAACTCTGAACAAGAGATGAGAAAATCCGTTTTTGGACTTATGTTAACCAAAACATAAAGTATACAGTTGCAGCTATAGTAGATACAAGCAGAGGAATGAGAGCTCTTTCACATCCTGTCATGTGTGTAACTTGACAATGTAGAAGATCAGACAATTAAGGACAAAAAGTGTCTATTTCTTATAAAGGAAATTCCCTTCACTATACTCGCAACTAAATGTCCTAAAATGTTATCATGAAGATCAATATGCTGGTCTGGACTCGGGCTGTGGAATAAAAAGAAAATACTAATTTCTCCACAAATTCCCATTCATATTCTGGATGTTTTCTAATGCAACACCTGAACATTGACTTAATGTTTTGTGTTTCTCAGGAAACTGACGCCTTGTTGATTATTGATAAAGCAACTGATGTAACAAAAGGAGTCTGGTGACTTACTTGGGGATGGATGGCAGGGCTCTGTCCCCCTCTGCAGAAACAAAATCAAAACATTCATTAGATCCAGGACATCACCGCAGCCATTTCTTTGTAGCCATAGCTAATTTTAGAAGCCCTAGCTTAACATCTGCTGGTTATTCAAAGTGACATGTGTAAAGCCTCATCAGCCACAATATTACTTGTATAACGTTTGAAAGATGGCTGACGGCAAACCAGAATACTATTTATAGTACACAGAAATGTTTCTTTGCTTCACGATATTATTACCAATCGTAAACATAAAAATGATCACAATCATCATGTTACTGCAAAACGATATGTAAGAGGAGTTGTGCGCCCTACCTTTGTGGACTCTGACGATGAAAGAGTGAGAAGTTAAGGAGACGAGCCGACAGTAGCCGTCAATCAAGTCAGCCATGTTTTCTGCAGTAGTCAGCGATGCCGTTGTGACTGTGAGGGGCTTCATGCACACATACACACTCGGGGTTAGTGGGACAGAGCGTTTCTTCACAGTGACACAATGAGAGCTTTATTAGGGATAACGTCTACCAGTACACACACACACACACACACTCCGTCTTCTACGCACTCACACACATCCTTACACAGACACTCTTGCACTGAGGCACACATGCTTCTCCCCTAGTAAGGCCTGCTGCAAGGCACACACTCAAACCTGACAACACACTCACACTGACACTCAAGTGCAGATGGCACAACCCAGTCTCATGGCATTTCGTGTTCACCAACACGATTTTTAATCTATTGATTCGTGTTCACCAACACGATTTCCCCCTTTTTTTCGTGTTGCACAGCACGATTTTAAAAGCAATGTGTTTCGTGTCTGCAGCACGTCTTTTTCTCCGGTCGGGTCGAGGAAGACCGGAAGCTGTGTGGTTCATAAAAACATGTTCTTACTCAATATCAAGCCACAGTTATTGCTTTTATTTTAAATCGTATAATTTCGGACTTTTGTTGCCGTCTGTGAGGAAAATAAATGTGGCTCAGAGCCTCAGGATACTGAAATCTGTATTTTTTATTTTTATTTTGAAATTCAGTTCCTGACTGACGCCAAAAAAGCCCGAGATTATGGAATTAAACCAATAAATAAAAACAAGGATAATTGTGTGTTATTGGTGAGTAAATAACAGTGTGTTATTTTGAAAAGAATAACAAATTAGAAGGAAAAAAAGATTTAAAAAAATACAGATTTCAGTATCCTCAGTATCCATTTATTTTCCTCAGAGACGGCAACAAAAGTCCGAAATTATACGATTTAAAATAAAAGCAATAATTGTGGCTTGATATTGAGTAAGAACATGTTTTTATGAACCACACAGCTTCCGGTCTTCCACGACCCGACCGGAGAAAAAGACGTGCTGCAGGCACGAAACACATTGCCAGTAGAAATACATTGCTTTTAAAATCGTGCTGTGCAACACGAAAAAAAGGGGGAAAATCGTGTTGGTGAACACGAAATGCCATGAGACTGGGTTGGATGGCAACACCCCGCTTCACCCTACTGGGTGATGTTTCCCTCTTTTCTACATCCTTCTGAGGTTTTTTTGTAGAATGTTTATTACAACTCATTAGAAAACAATGTTTAACAAAGTAGAATCTCTTTCATGTAAAAAAAGGGACATTTATCAACAAATGTAATACAGCACGAGGTATAACTGCAAACCCTATATCTAAATAGACAATGCAATAATAGTATGTAGGGTATATGTGTGTGTGTGTGTGTGTGTGTGTGTGTGTGTGTGTGTGTGTGTGTGTGTGTTCACCTCTGGCGCTCCTGCTACGTTGAGCTGCAACATGCCTTTCCTGTCCTTCTCTTCCAAAGGAGAGTACTGGATGGACTGCACCTGGTTAAAGTTAGCTAAATGGGTTGGCTGCTGAAACAAAGACAAATACATAAAGAAATCAATACAAATCAATAAGGTACAACTTTCCATAAAATCATGCTGCCCTTTATTCAGCTCAGTGGACATTATCTACTCAAAGAACTGTATACATATTTTTACCAGTTGGTCATGCATTTCTATTTTCACACACAACAATAGCAACCACAGAATTTATAAATGTCTAACACTGAGCATGAGGAAGAAAACGTCACCAAGTTTCAATGTGTTTATAAAAGGTCAAACAGTACGAGCTCTGTTTAATTATCATGCAATAATCAACTCAATTCATTCTAAATATGTTGACGGACAGTTATCATTAAGTAGAATTGTAATAACTCAATGTCAGCACTGGATTTACAGGTGTGCAGCTGCTTCCTTCAACCCTGTACCAAGCACATCCTTAATGAGGTTGTGTATATGTGTAATCATGTCCCCAGGTGCTCAAACATATGGCTTTAATGGATTCCTTTACAGAGTGATTTCAACTCGAACAAGGGTGAAGAGAACTCTGTCCCCTGTAGCTGAAAACCAGTAGATGGCAGTATGGTGGATTGCCACTCTGGCCTTCAAATTAAAAGTATGCCTAAAGCAGTAGTTAGCATTCAACACCAATGCAGTATAAAATAGTGAAGAAAGAAGGGAGCAAATAAGGGAACTCGATCATGTCTTTGCTGGAAAAAATGAAATCTCAAAAGAATAAATCTAAACTGAGGATGACCTCGTGAGATGAGTCATATCTAAGTACATACTTACCATTGAGCCCTTATCTGTGAGGTAGCTGATTCCTTCTTCTGGTCCGATAGCTAACTCTACCGATATTACCCAACTAGACTAGAGGGGGAGAAATAAAAACAGATGGAAGAATACAGCATTAAAACAGATGTCACATTTCATCATATCAACTGCTTTTTTAAGTACTTGCAAAAATGTAATATTGATAGCATAGAACTATTTTAACGTTCTCTTCTGTTTTAAGTACTTTTACCATTATATTCCCTCTAGGACAGAGAAGGGTTTGCATTATGCAGAGGGCAGTGATAATGCATTGCTGTAGAGAAAAGTATAATAAGAACACGGGACTGTGGGACAAATGCAGAAAACACAATTGCTACCCTTTCCTTGTATGGTTCTGACAAGCAATCTAAATAAAAAATGACTTTCCACTTTAAATATTTCTACCCTGTGAATTTTTAATAGGCTTAACCCTCCTGACTGAGAGTGCATTTTCAGGTATGGAAAATGTATGAATGGATACCACAATTTATCTTTACATGGAGTGTTGCCCTACCCCCAAAGCACATTTGAAGCACTCCTTGTCGAAGCGGTAGATGGGAGAGAGTATCTCAAAGAACTTGTGGATGCTCTGCTCATCGTTGAGGTTAGCAAACTGCTTAAAGGTTTGTTGGATCTGCTTACGAAGAGTCTTCGCCTGATAGAGAGGGAGCAAAAGAAAAACAAAGGTTAAGTCTTTCTGGGAGGAAGTTGATGCAGAGCCAAGAAAACGGACACTGGGAGTGACAACAGGACGTTTAACTAATTCAATACGATGAGATTATCTGACAATCGGCCAGACATCCACTCAGTCATCAAGATCTGGCTGTCACTCAGCCGGTCGCTCAGTCAAACAGCCATTAGCTCATCCAGCCGACTAAGCCAGGCTGGGATTTACAAAGACATTTCAACACTGTCACTTCTGCTATATGGAAATGTAATTTAAATGAGACTATGTCCAGTTTAAGTCACTAATTCTGTTAAATACACTGACAGTAGTTTAACCTCACCTTTAGGGAGTCCAGCAGGCTTTTGGGGAAGAACCTTCTTAAGCCAACGTCTTTCCTAAAAAATAAAAGAATAACATTTAACTTTGAATAGGTGAAATCTACCATCACACAATTTCTTCAGTTTGAACCGAATAACATCTTACTCTAGTAGTTCATAATTGGATTTCTTGTCTAGGGCGTTGCCTGGCATCTCTCTGAAGAACCTCCTGTAGGATTCAGAGAGAAAAGTTGAAACGGTATTCAATTGTCATCTATAGATTGAATTTAAGTTCAGATATTCTGGAAAGCTTTTCTGATATACGCAGAGACTAATAGTCAATGTTTGTTTAACAGAATAATTGTGTTGATTTTCTCATGCTGTTGGCATAACAGCTATTGTTGGTACAGTGTGTTCTCACCTAATTTCCAAGCAGCCCAGTTTTAGAGCTACATCTTGATCCACCTGATCAGCTATATGGTGCATGTAGTCACTTTTTACCTGGAGAGAAACAGTGCAACAGAGCAATGTTTAATAACAACAATGGTGTTAGGACAAAGTCGTACAGACTCATGTAAGAGCAGAATGAAATGTGTTTTTAAGTTACATGTATCAAGGTATGTCTGCCTTGTTAGATGTAAAAGCGATAAGGAGGAAGTGACAGAGCAGATTTTTTCTATTTTTTACTGGTTAATATTATTTCATAAAGAGGACACTTTTCTATCTCATCTTTTTTACGTGATCCTGCCGTGTTGCCTCACCTGGTGGTAGAGGTAGTTAAGAGAGGGTTTGTCTTCCGAGAAATGACTGAGGTAACCTTTAGGAAGGTACCGCATCCGCAACTCATACCTGAAAATGACAGACAATTTTGGCTAAAATAACCATACAGTCAGCCCGCACACCCACAGAGAGAGAAAATAACCTGCAGCATTTAAATTCAGTGGCTGTTGGAGGCCTAGAGCAAGAACGAACATAATTACTCATACATACAGATGACGCATACAGACCTAAATAAATGTTAAACCCCCACTTTGGCCGAGAAAGAAAGGCCTAAACAACCTGGAGCCTCACTTATATAAGCACAGTGTTATTCACTTGCACACAAAACAACCTTCACTTTAAAAAGAAATTCTAAAAGTTGGATTGAGCATTTTCCAATATTATAATGTGACAGAAAATGTACCACATCATTTTGAATGTTTAAAAACAGGTAAGCCTGGAGCATTTTAAAACGGAACACTTGTGATTTAAATATTTGTGCATCTGACTTGCCAATGTAAAATACTTGGATGACAAACAGATATCTGAGAGGATATCACAGAATCTACAACGTAGTCCTGATTCGAAAAATCTAGAGATCAGGAAAATACTATATCTTGCATAACGTAAGGCTTTAAAACAAACCCAAAAAAAGAGTTTTAGCTTTATCACATAGCTCTGCTATATACAGATCTAGAGTCATTGTAATGCACACATTGTGGCCCTGACGAGTTTGCTTCTTGCTCTTTTCTCTTAATCACTTGCTTGGGTTTAAAGTATGTGTTAGCTACATAATAGCTCCAAAGGAGCAGTAGATTCAATTTCTTGCTCAAAGTCACCTCGGCAGCGTGGCTGTTTGCCAACACTGGGCTTGAAACAGTTGAAACTGAAAGTTGCCCTTCCTATGCACCGTATATCTGTCTAGTCACTGTAAGACAGGATTTCATATTTAGCTGACAGTGAACTAACTGAAAGTGATAACCTTGTAATGTCATAAAGCAGAATGCCATTCCTCGTGTTACACTTGCCAGTTATCTGTGCCCCAGAAGTACCCAGATGGGCCATCATAGTTTATAGTGATATATTATTTTATGACTGGCATATTGCAGTGACTACAGCGGAGAGAAATGGGTCGACTCAGGAGAGTTGAGCTTCAAGCTGCTGTGATGGGACACGACTGTTAGATAACAAAGGAAATCAAGGCTGAAGACAAAATGAATAAAACATCCTCGTTCTATAATGAATGAACCAAAATGAGTGTGAGAAGGGATACAACGGTGTGTGTTTGAGAGAAATGAGAGAGCTGGATAAGAAAGAAAGGACAGATGTGAGAGATGAGAAAAAGAAGGATGGAGGGAAACATCAAAGGGAAAAAACGAGTGACTGCGAGCGCACGAGACGCTAGAGAAAACACGCGAGGGAGCGAGAGATCGGGGAGAGAGTCAGTCCATCCCCTGGGCTACTTCTGCTGATCTAACAATAGCTCGGCAGCAGCAGAAGCTCCTGTGGGCTCGCAGCTCTGCAGCCGTCTGAGGCAAAGCTGCAACAACTGGCAGAGCTGCTCCGCTGCATGTTAGCTGTGTGAACAACCCCTTCATATTGAACTCATTTCAATTTGAATGACTTTGGGTATAAGAAATAGACTGCAGGACAAAAGACTGAATTGTAAAGAGAGCTGTGACAACTGAAGGTGGCCAAGAGCCAGCATAGTTTGAGTGTAGGACGAAAACAGACAAAGCTGCTTTCAAATAACAAGCAGCTTAATCCCCTTCATCAAACAGGGCAAATCATCCCGACATGGCTTATTGGGCTACTGTATCAAATAAAGGGATAGAATAAGGCTCTATAAATGATAGTTTATAGGGAAAAAATACAACAAACACACCAGCAACAACTACTCACTGCTTGAAAGTTATGTAATTGACCATTGAAATTTAGATAAATATCATCCATCATGAGTGTGGAAAAACCCATTGTATTGAGACTTCTGAATCTCAAGAAAGACAAGGACGGTGGTAAAAGTGAGCAATATGAAATACTTTGTTGTTACTTTTATTACTGCCTGTGTACAGACGATCACATAAGTATGATTCAGGTTTATTGAAACCATAAAGTCGTTTCATTGGGGCCATATGTTATGTAGCTGTAGCTTTTAAGGGAGGATTAAAAATACTCTTGGTTGGAAGTTGTGTAGCTTAAACAAGTGGTGGCCCTTTACAGCCCAATGGGGCATTTATAAAGATGACATGTTTGTATTAATAATGCGCCTTGGAGGAGAAGAAAATAACGTTATGTTTTTTGGCCTGTTGCTACATATTAGCACAACATTAAGGATGAAGGGAGCTCACTTAATAATCTTGAACCTCAATCGCAGCTGGCTTTAGTATGCCTTATGGTAACAGAAAAACAATTGAATAAATGTCAGACAAGTAGTGGGAGCAGACAGTGAGGGTTAATAATTGCTTTTTGTTGTAATTCTACCTCCACTCCTCCTGGGGGTGCTGTTTCTCATATTTCTCCCTGACGTGACACACGCCTAAATCAGGGTGTAACCAATGGAGAGCATCAGAGTGCAGATGGCTGAGACGGAGGCCCAGAGAGGACACACAGCGCAATTTGTGGATCTCTGCTATCTTCTGGATAACACCCTGTTGAAACAAGAGACAGTTTGAGACAAAGAAACAAGCAAGCATCAGGGAAAAGATGATGATGGAGAGCTACAAATGTACAACATGTTTGTTTGACTTACCCGGACGTCTGTTGCATCTCCATGCCTGATATTACTAGCCCAGGTGCACGGTTCGCTGTTTGTTTCAAAATAATGGAATATCTTCAGTACCCGGTCCATGGAGGCTGTGGGCCGCTCAAGGCCTGCAGCCGGGCCGCTGGTACCAACACCCGTACCTCCAGGCATCCCAGACCGGGATTTAACCCCACAGCCACTCGCTGCGGAGTGATTGAGGTTTGGTTCCAGGTAGGAAGACGACGCCATGCCTGACTCAGATGCTCCGGCAGGGGCTAACTTGCCGTCATATTCTGAAAAAGAGAGAGGACAGAGATTACATTTGACTGCATAGTTAAAGAGCATTCTGTAATCTTGCTACTCACTCGACATAAGTTCAGTCAAGGACAATAAAAAACAACTGGTTAAGAACATTCACATAAAGAAAACGTCCTTAACTAAACCCTTGGAACACATTCTTTCACACACAGTGACATCATGAGCTACCCACAATGCAACGCGCACCATATATATATATATAAATACGCCATTTTCCTGGAGGTGCTAATATCCTGGAGGTGCTAATATAAACAGCTAGCTAACGTAGCCAGGCAGAGCGCACTAGGTTTTTTTTCTGAATTAACGACCGAAGAAATCGCTGCATGTCTTTGGATTACATCTCTGGACTTGAGGGGTGTGCTCTAGGTCGTTACCAGCGTAAACTAGAGCTGTGTGGGTTGTCGGATTGCCCTTACAGACTGCCTGCAGATGTATGGAAAAACGACTCTCGAAAGTGGCCTTCGTCGATTTTGGCAGCATCTACGTCTATCTTCTGGAAACACCAGGTGAATACCCCACTTGTCACAATAATATTATCATGCCAATGCAAATATGTGGTATTTTAGAGTTGACTATATTGATTAAGGCAATAGACTATAATATTCTGGTTGCACCTCGCGTGAAATGGCGGATACCGGAAGTACGGTGTCGCCCTTGGCCCAAAACCCGTATGTGTGTGTGAAAGAATTGCTGAAAAAATAGCTGACAGTAAAACATTCACAACCTCTCACTCACCACCAGTCTGTCATTCTGACTGCACATCTGTTATGACATAGATGAGGCTACATTAATAGTCATAAAGATATGAAAGAGAACTTGCGCAAATGTACACTCACTCAAAAACAAATCCAAGGTTGAGACATGATAATAGGACTGTAATCACACATTAACAAATAACTAGAAGGAGAGGCTACCAACCAGTCAGTCATTCAGTCAGGGAAGAGTCGATACAAACCAGCAAAACACCGACACAAAGCCTTTTTAGAAGGACCTAATGGATTCACAGCTCAACATAAATCAGATTAGTTTAACTTTAAATAAATAAATCCCCAGTGTCAGACTGAAAAGCTTCTTCTAAATCAACCAGGCTGCCAGTCTTGTAAAGCAGCGAGTTTAACAGCAAGCCACTCAAACACCAGTCAGTAAACTGTCAGTGGACTGGTCATTCAGCACTACATGCAACGCAGAGTGCAAATGGCCGACAGCCATACGACAACCTCTGGATTTCTACTGTTCTCAATGAGTTGCATGGCTGCTAGGCTAGAGTTTATAATCTGATGGTTTATAAAAATCTGGCCAGACACAATAAGGTTTGCTGAAGGAGGATTAGTCAATTTTTCTGGAAATACTTTTGTTCAATGGCTGTAGTTGTTTATTTAGCAACTATTGTAGCACCTATTCTTCTTATGGTCCATACATAAAAACACAACAGCCCCAACAAACATACATCTAACAACCCAGCACTATAGATCCCCCACAACTGCAACAATTAAAACTATACAGTCCCTCCGAATAAACTGAGAACACAGAGCTTAATATACCTAAAATAAAGAAAAAGAACAAAACAAAGCAGGATGCACCTTTACTATATTATTCTTAATAATGATAGAAAGATAAACACATAAAACCACAAGAAGCTTCATAGAAAAAAGGAGTTAAACAAATAAACCCTTCGAATTCTTAGTAACAGCACACCTTTTTCCCGTATTTTGATTATATACAGACACTGGATAATACTAAAGTGAAATGGACTATTTTAAAAATAAATTCTGTTTTGTCTCAGACTTTTTCTTTCACGTATTCACCCTCTTGTAACAGTTGTTTCTACTGTAGGTTCATCTTGACACATCTTATTCTTGGTGGAGACACACACTCTGCTGCTTCCCATGTCATACTGTCACTTCCTGGGTTTCCCTGCAGGCTTTGACTGTGAACGCTGGCTACATAATGTGGTGACAAAAGAGACACAAGTACATCAAATCCCATTGAGTGACTAATTTCATGACTCATCTCCAATAATGGGGTTGTAATTTACAACTAAATAGGGTTATTCAGGGTTGAAAGATCTGCTTATTTATGTGATTACTTTTTTGTATCCACTAATTCTGGGATAACGAATCCAGCTGACAAACATGTGTTTCCAGTTATTGTTACTGTCGACCATGGTTGTTTCCGCCTGAAGCAAGCCCAAAAATCATTGCTGTTAAAAACAAATCACTTCATTCAGCATTTTTCCGTGTTGTGTTCAGGTCACGGTCAGATCACTTCACACCGAGAACAAAGGGAGAAAGAAGCAAGGACTGAAAAACGTTCCTGGGATAGTTTGTTCAGCACTTTTGACAGCTTGACCTACAGTTGCCTCTTCAAAGTAACTGTGTGTGTGTGTGTGTGTGTGTGTGTGTGTGTGTGTGTGTGTGTGTGTGTGTGTGTGTGTGTGTGTGTGTGTGTGTGTGTGTGTGTGTGTGCTCACAATCACTGCATCAGAAGTGTAAAGGAGGACATTATGCATCTGATAACTTGACTCAGCACTCTCTCGGAAAAATGTGCTGTATCATCAATAATGTGTGTGTGAAACTGTGCAGAAGGTTGTTTCCTTAAACTTAGACTTTCTGCCGCCACTTTGGCTGTTCATAGCTATTTTGTTTTTCAAGCATTATTTTACATATCCACACAACTGTAAATAAATGAATTAATATATTTAGGTTTAAATGGAGAAATCTAATGTATCATTACTTTTCTTCATTATTAACCCTCAAGGCTTTAACACAAGTGAATAGTGAAGATCAGAAAACACATGTCACTCTCACAGTCTTACTGTCACCATCCAATTATAATGATACCACTGTGGCTATGATACTACTGGATTATTAGGTGGTTTATTACAATCCCCAGTGCACTGCTGCTCTAATCCCATTGCAAAAAACAACATATCATCTCAGTGTAACAATACCAGGCGCCATGCTAATGACTACAGATCAGCCTGGGATGAAAAATGATGATAACATTTAAAGGAATAGTTGGAAATAAACTGTCTCTTTGCACAATCATGAACATATAAACAGGGTTTTGCAGTGAAAATCAGTGAGGTCACTCTTTTGTTAATTGCTACAGATACAGTATGTTAAGCTTTTTAAACAGAGACAGGTTTTAGGGACAGGTTGTTGGGAATGCTTCAAATTAGAAAACGTGAACTTCAACTCACATTACCCCCGTACATTAGATCATATTCTGATGTTGATCAAGTACCATTGTCATGTCATTTCAGTTGCTGTCTGAGAACAAATTAGCATTTACACTACTATAAATAATGTCCTTTAAATGCAGTTCACCAATGTTTGCTCTACTGTTGGGTGTTAATGATACATGTATATGAAAACAAGCCCTATGGATGTTGGGTTGTTATAACAGCAGCTCTCTTAGTTCAAACCCCAGCCGTAGTGCTTGGTCTCCGAGGGCCACACTAAAAAATGTATTGAGGACAATATTTTGACTGCAACTCGTTTTTAAATAGCAGCAGTGTCACCAGAGGAGCTAAAAAGTCACAAACCACGGTCAGCCATCTGCTACTGCCCTATCAGTCGGTGCGTAATCAGATTAGATCTTAAGCACTAAATAGTTGTAACACCCCACTGCATACACTGACACATAACACAATAGTGACGCAAAATCACACACACGTAACCTTAACCTAAATACTAGCTGGATGAAATCCTATTAGAAAAGCATACTGACATTCGCCTTAGTGCATACGTACAACTATTGTAAAGACTGTTACATCACACATCACTAGCAAATGGAGTCTGTTTACCCGTGTTTTAGTACCATCCATCAAAAGAGGTGGTAGTAACATCGCCCCTAAATACTGCAGCTACTAACCAGTGTGACTGAATGCATGTCAATTGGGAAAATGTTATATTTTGTTTGTCGGTCTGCAAAAAAAAATCTTTAAAAAAGATTGAATATATGTTACTGAATGGATGACCATACAGCCAAAGTATCAATTTCTTACATTATCCATTATGTAAAGGTCTGACACCTGGACGTGTTTTAAGCACTGCATTAGTGTGCAGTAAGCCATCACAACAAACAATTAACATGCATAGACCATCAACAGCATATATATAACAAAATGCTTTCCATTAGTTACCTTTCAGTTTTGGGGCAATACAAAATATGGATCTCATAGCACATACAATACTGTTTTGAAATAGGCACACTACACAGCAGCACGGGACAAATGAAGCCATATCTCACTGCACCAATTTCTCTCAAATGACTAAATCCTCACATGCATGCCCTCACACACAGAACAAGTGAGGAATCAAATCAACTAGGCCATGCAGGCAGCAAGCATGGGAGCAGGCGGCTGCCAGGCCCACATCCCGCTTTCTCAGCGGGGCTCTGGTTACTGACAGTTAGCCTGTGAAACCACAGAAGGCTGGAGTTGAGCTCTGTCCCGTAGCAGCAGCAGCAGAAGGACGGTTTATCTCCTAGTCTAACTGGTATCTGGGTTACTGGGGTTAGCACAATCCTAGGGGAGCCTATTCCTCTTTGTCTTTTCCCTGTCATCCCATTCCCTTGCTATTTTCTTTTGTTGCTAATCTTTTTTTTTTTACCCCGCCTCATATGCTAAACCTCCTGTATACTTCTTTCTCCATCCTTTACCCCCTTCATCTCCCTTTTCCCTCCACTCTCTTAATCTGCTCCAGTCACTCATCTCAAATGCTCATAGACCTTTTAGTTCCCGCTTTCCGTCTCCATTTGATCCTCCTGTGCTATTGAACCATCTTTCTTCCTTCCTCCCTCTCATCTTTCTCTCATCCTCCAACAATTTCCTCTGCCCTCCCCCTTCCCCCACACTGCTACACTCTCTCTTCCCTCTTCTGCAAACGATGCGCATTATCTATACCAGGGGACGGGGAAGAAAAAGTCTAAACATCTGTATAAATATGTGACAGCCATATAAATACAATACTTTTCCATTATGAGCCTAAAGAAAAACCCCAAAGGACTAGCACAAAGAGTGTGTGTTGGTGTACGCATGTGTGTGTTCTGCGCTGTTCCAGTGACATCAGAGCTGCCAGGGTAACTTATAACCAACATGTCCCCTTTCACCAACCTCATTAGTACGACTGTAGCCCAGGCAGATGAAAAGCAACAGCAGTTCAGTACATTTCATGTTCACGCATATTATTAAGTGCTGTAAATAAAAAAAGCTACATTGATGAACAAGTCACTCAATCATTGGACAGTTTGCAGTGTTTTTGCATCACTTCATGGGCTGGCTTTGGAAATAAAAAGTATATTCTTGTGACTGACAGCAGGTCATGCAGCTCTTCACTGTGCTTTTGTTCATTCTCCTTTGGTTAAAAAGAGTTTAAGAAGTCAACATTATTAATGAGTTTGTATTAATGACCCTAACCTGACCTCATCTGTCATAAATGATGATAGACAGTGGATAGTGTCTTTTAAAGCATTTTCATAATGTTGCGATCAACACTCCTCTAAAAACCCAGGGTGAGGAAACGCCCACATCTGTCTGATTTAGAAATCATAGACCATACTCAGGAAAATGAAATACTGCCAGCCTGACAATACATAGTATGTTTAGCAGAGTAAGGAAATGCTACCAAGTAGAGTGAGCGAGGGTAAACAATATTGAGAAGTCACAAGGATGACTTTTCTATTTAATTGCAAATAATGATACAAAGAAAGAGGAAGGTAAAGGAATATTTTATATTTGATAAACATGATATGGATCTTATACTTTGTAGAATTGAATCAAAAGGATGTAATTCTTCAGAAGCACATATCTAACTGCATATGGTATTTGTCGTTACATAATATGATGTGTTGATTGATACTCTTAGGATATTCGTACATACTTGGCAAGGGGTGCTGTGCGTAGATGCAGGCCCCCTTGCTCCAGCAGAGAGGGATGCAGCCGCTGTTCTCCATTTGTTTTGTAAGCGGGGCTGTTTAAGGTCCGGCCACAGGGCCCAGACAAACCTGTCGGGCTCCGAAAACAGCATAGAGCCAGGGACTAGGACGGGCTCCTAACCTGGCGTTATGCTACTATAAAAATGTCCTTTTATGAAATGTTGAATAACGTGAGGAAAAACAAAAAATGGGATCCTAAAATATTCCCCAAAAAGTTAGAAATGGTGTCCTGCTGTGCTGGTAACTGGGCTGTCATTTGTTGGAGGGGTGATATCATCCAGTGTGCAACTTTTAGCCGCCGCCTCAGAAGATAGCCACAGGAAACTCAATAGAGAAAAAATCAATCAAAGCCAGAGTCCCGGGGCTCGAGGTAACTCTAGAGAAGAAAAGAGCCCAGTAAGAGGAAACGGAGGATGTCAAATATCCTTTGTACTGTCAAATCTGATGACTCAGCAAGTATCCCCACAGGAGGTAGAGAATATACCAGTCCGTAACTCTCTATGCTTGAGCAGCAACTACATGCAATCACCAGGGTCCAAGTCCAGTTGATAAAGAGATTTAAATACAGCGATACAAATATTACTCAGCTTCTCACATCCAGAGAATCCTTCCAAAACAACCAAGTCAAATCTTCGTCTGCAACAAAAGACAAACCAATGCGTGATGATAAAGCTGGAAGTGCAGTATCTGGTTCTGACAATCCAAGATCGTGATCATGAGACTTCCTGTCACTCTCTCCGAAAGCTTGCTGAAACATCCCATTACATCAGGACTGGAGGAAGTGGCTCTGCGTCCAGGTATTAGTAATCAATCTGTCCAATACATGTCATGACCTTTAACCCTGCAAAATACCTAAACCATTGTGCAATTTGATATACTGATTTCTGTTAGAAAGTTATTTTTTTCCCTTCTTCACTCCTTCTTCAGCAGAAAAGCTTCCCAAAACAGACATTCATGCTCTCTGTGGCCGGGGGAGAATTTCTCCACCAATTAGACTGTCCTGCAGTCCAATAAATCCTCAGAAAATATCAAATTCTGGTCTTTGTTGCGGAGCTTTTGATCCAATTAATCAGCCCTTGATGTGAAAATCAAAGAAGGAGGCTTCCCTGCAGCCATACGTCTTAAGTCACATGGTACGGCATTGTATGTCAGAAATCCAGGTTACAACACTGCCGTCAAACAATACTTTGTGTAATGACATCAAAGTACCATTTTCCAAGAAAGGTTGTCGTTTGGTTCTGTTAATCCAAAATGTGGTCAGAAGAAGATGGTAAGAAGAAAAGAGAAACTTGCACCAGAGAAGAAAAGAGATAAAAATGTAGGGCAAAGAGGGGCGTAGAGAAATGGAGCAAAGCGAGGGAGAGGTAGGTAGAGTGACCGACGCAGGAGGGAGAAAGGAAAGCACGAGGAAACGGATGACGAAATACAAGATAGAGACTAAAAGAAGAGTTGAAAAAGAACAGAAAGATCAAGAAGAAAAAGGAGAAATAAAGGTAACTGGATAAAAAGAGAAAGTGGAGAAACCCCAGGGAGAAGCTGAGCCTCGCATCCTCCAAAGCTTTCTCACAATGCTCTGAGCCTGCAGGAGTTAACCAGGTCAGAGCAGGTGTCTGATGTCAGAGAGAGACATAAAGGGACAGAGACAAAAATGAAAAGTAAAGATCCAAAAAAGCTGTGATGCAAAGCCAGGCAAGAAGGGAGAACGACTATGTGGAGGAAAAAACGTTGCAGGATTTGGTTTGAGGAGAAAAATGTATGCAGTAAATCCGTTTGGAAAGTCATTCAGCCGTGTGTAGCTCAGTCTGGCTTCCGAAGGCTTTCATCAGGAGCAGCGGAAAGGGGAACTGGATCACAACATCCCAATCTCTCTCTCTCTCGCACACACACACACACACAGTACATCCAGCGCAAACCTTGAGCAGTCGCGATAAGTGCACCAAAGAGGCTATACAGTGAGAGAGTTATGTGTGAAAGCCAGAGAGAGGCTGTACGTATACAAGAGTGTGTGTGCATGTGACTAAGCAGGTAGACGACTCCATGCATGTGTGTTTGTTGAAAGTCTGTAAAAAGCAGAAGAAGTGTGTGCGCAAAATCAAAAAGCGAGTGTGTGCCAAGTGCTTCCTCTCTGCTGTGTTTTCGGTATACGCTGCTGTGACCACGCTGCGAAAAAGCTGCACCGCTAGCTCACAGGCAGAAGCAGCAAGGGTGTGTGTGTGTGTATGTGTGTGTGTAAGGAAGAGAAGGAGGCTAGAGGAAAACATATTCTAATTGACACTTAATGCTGTGGAAAGTAGGCAAGGCGAGTGGACAGGACTTATAAATATGCTAATAGGACACCACTGCTAATCAACACTCCAACTTTAATAAACAGCCAGCCACACACACACACACACACACACACACACACACACACACACACCACACACACACACACACACACACACACACACACACACACACACACACACACACACACACACACACACACACACACACACACACACACACACACACACACACACACACACACACACACACACACACCAGGATAATGTTTAGCCACTGAAAACATACATTCCACTGTATGACCCCTAATAACACTTCCCCTTTCTCCTCTGTTTGTATTATCCGTGGGCAGGTCTCTGCTGCCCTCTGTCCTGCCTCTCTGTGGTCTCTCCTCCTCTACAAACATATTGCATCTGCTCTCCTGCAGCATGCCATCTCTTCAATGGCAATAAAGCACTGACATTCTATTCCTCTGATGTGCCAGAGCACGAGATGAATGTGCATGCTTTCTAGCTAAGCTTCCAGCGGGAAAACACTGACAACTAACATGCTGTGATTTATTCATGACACAAACTAATATAGAGCATATAGGCATATATTCAGTTATTTAATAATTAAGACCTCATGCTCCTAAAGGATCTTGGTCAGGTATAAATGAAACCAATGTCTGCTTGCATCAGGAAATAAAGAGTGGCCCACCCTGTTTAAGTGGACCAATCAAGTGTACTGACATCCAATATGCAGACATACTGTATGTGCTCTAGGAACATATTTAACTAAAGGTTACATTTTAAGTGAGATCTCATTATAAAGCAGGTCTAGCTGCTACTTATAAACTAGGAAGTTACCTAAATGCACAAAGCCTGTATTCAGAAACTGTGCCTTTAAAACAGGCCTTCAGGACTAGCGTATTCTATACAGGTAGAAAGGGCCGCTACAGTCGGTCTCCAGCTGCATTGAGAGTGCAAAAAGGACAGAAAAATGAACAATATAAAATGACCAGGACAAAATAACTACAGCACTCTTGAATACATTTATGCAGTTATTTGTATGTCTTTTATATCAGTTATTTTGCCTTAGTTTTCATTAGAATTTGAACCGCATGGTGCTTATGAGTGCAGTCAAATTGTGAGTTATAACTCCGTCTGATCTGTCTTCTGTCTTTATATTTCATATCATGCAACACAAAATGATTGCATGATATAAATGATGACAGAGATACAGAAGCTGGATGTTATGTTCAGTGTGCTCTCCACTCAAACTGAGCTTGTGATCCTTTCAGCAGTACTGAGAATGAGTATTTCTAAGGCTGTTTCGGGATACAGATGTTCAGTTTACCCGGTCCCCTGTACACTGTGTGGCGTGCTACTGTCATTTTGTCAGCAAAGTTAGAAAGCAGCATCTCATGAGTTTCAGTTAACCTCAACCTCAACTTTGGCAATACGTATCCCACTGGAGTTCTGCCAAAGTTAAGGTCAGGAAACGTAAAATATGCGTTTGTCCTTTTCAGGAATGACAAGTTCTCTTTTCTGAGGTATACAACATCCTCCTTGAAAACATAGGATCAACGGTTACCTAGCAACACCAACGAAGAGAGACTGGTGCTTAGAGGTAATTATCTTATCTATACTTGATATTATTTAACCCTAACAGTCCTCGTTAGGTGTGAGTCAAGACCAGGGGTGCCCAACCTTTTTTGAACCGAGAGCTACTTTTAAAGTTGCCAGTCTGCCGAGATCTACCAGTCCAAATAGAGAGGCGTAGCCATTACTGACAGCCTACTACCAGGTAAATACACACTTCTACTTGTATAAAACTGACCTTCGTACGATTAATACTCCATAAACTACTGCAGATCCTTTATCTTACCTCTTTCTAATCTACACACATACAAGTATTTAACTGAAGTTACACAACAGTGTTGTTGATACAGAGTTGGTGTTTATTCACACGTCACTACAGTGGGTAATGTTTTCAAGAAACATTGAACAGTGCTGCCACATATGACACATGGAAAAAAGAAAAGACTCTGAACCCTTTCTTTGCCATTATATAAAAATAGTGTTGCTACAAAAGTATAAATGAGGCTTACTAATAAGACAACCCAGATCTGAAGCTACTCAGGAATCTGCTGCCAAAGTGCAATAAAAAAGACAAAATTAATAGAATCAAACCCTTTTTTTGTTGCATTTTAGTAGATTATAAAAATAAATGCCTTTTTAAAATAGGATGCAAGCAACATAGTTTCTTAACCTGAATTGATAATAGACTATAATCAATTTAAGTTTGCATTCTTATACCATTTTGTACAATAATTATAATGAATAAGTTCAAACAAACTCAAACTTACAGCTGATTAATAACGGTATCTAACTTGAGTTTTTATTATATCAAAAACCTGTTGAAATGCTACTGTTATTTTTATTACGCATCGGCAGCCTCCAGGCACGCTTCTTTCACAACTTTGCCGTCTTTGAAATACTTCATGTGTTTCTCAAGAACGTGACTGACACGATAAGATGCTATGGTAGCAGCCTTGCTCTTGTTGTTGACCTGGTGAAAATGGACTGCTGTGCATTTAGCTGTCCTTTCAGGCCCCTCCCCTTTTGGAGCGTAGGGCAGAATTAGGAGGGAATTCCGTCTCGTAGCGTTTGTGCACTGTTTTGAAATGCCGCTCCTAAATGACCCTTCTTCGATAAAGCCACGCTCGCATTGCAGATGAGACAGATGGACTTTGAATTGGAATAGATACAAAAATAATCATCCTCCCACTCGGAGTGAAAATTATATATGTTTTGCTTCTGCCATAATTGCGGGCTTGTGTGTGTGCGGACTGTCACTCCTGTTGACACGGACAACGTTAGCGAACTAGTGCACTGCCCACTGCTCACCAGCCACGCCCCGACACATGGGGTCACGCCGGCCAATCACAAAGCTTTGATGCGTTCAAGTGCATTATTCTGGCACAGGAAGATTATGTTACAGGACATTAACGATAAAACAGAATATTGTTGTTCTATTTTTAGACACATCTCGCGATCGACTGGGAATCTCCCCGCGATCGACCGGTCGATCGCGATCGACGTGGTTGGGCACTCCTGGTCAAGACTAATACCAAAGAATATCATGCTTTGTGAATACGAAATAGAAGGATAGATCTCTCTTAGACCATGAAAATCAAACGGAAAGGATTCTGTCATTCCCATTAAGTAGTTGACAATATTTCTGTTCATATCAAAGTTACATGAGAGAGCAAATTCAAACAAAAAACAAAGCTGTATACAATGAGTGGGCAAAGGAAACCTTTACATGTTAAGGTTGATGCAATAACTCATACACATCACTAGGGCTGAACGATTAATTGATTTGAAATCGAAATTGCGATTTGAAATGATGCAATTATCAAATCGCAAAGCCTGCGATTGTTAAATTTGGTTTTGTTTTGTTCTTCTTGTGTGTCAGTCATCCACACCAATCAGAAGTGCTGTGCTCCACATGTACCCGTCATTGTTAACCAATCAGAAGTGGCCCATGATAGAAGGTGATAGACAGATTGATCCAATCACCTGCCAAGTATTTTTGAAATACTTTTCCAAATGGCAAATGGCTTCCAATGGAGCTTTCCTAGATGGTTTGGTGAAACAAACCATCTGAGTCAGGTTAGTAATGCTCCATCACATGTTTTACATCTATTACAGGGTGAGTCTTAAACTGAAGCTTGACTTTAAAGCAACCCAACGGAAGTTTCATGTAAGTTTAGTTCTTTCACTCGTAGCTCGGGCTGCGAGGGTGCTAGAGACGGGAGCACGATGATACGACCTTCCTAGCCGGAGATATGGCCGCATTTTACAATACACTTCCGTTGGGTCGCTTAAAAACAAATATCACAAATCGAATCGCAATATCTGTCAGAAAAATCGCAATTAGATTATTTCCCCAAATCGTGCAGCCCTACACATCACACACACAAATCTCTATTGTTAGTTCAGAGGACGTTCAGCAATACCTCGCCTGTATTTAACAAAAATAAATCATAATAATACATTTAATTTATATAGCGCTTCTCATCTGCCAAGACAAATCTCGAAGCGCGAATAGATACTCACCAGCGTAGTATGATATTCTGGAAATATCTGGAACAGAGAAAAAGAGAAAACAAGATTTTAGTCAGATAAATGACATGTATATTACACAAACTTGGAAGTGAAACTCAAAATGGCCATAAGTATTGAGAGTGTGGTGTTTCTTCCTGGCCCTGACCATCTTGCAACAAATTCTACTTATACATTTATTGCAAGTATCTTACACTTGATAGCTACATATTTGTCTTGGATGCACAGATCAAATTAATCTACTTTCATATATTATAAGGGATTACTGCTCGTAATTTACTACTTCAAGTCTTATATATGTATTTAAGTTGTGTAGAAAGAGTTGTAGGAGAGCATCGTTGAGAACTTGAGTTATTGACAGGAACAACATTTCCATTACTTGAAATGACTAACATTATCAAAACGATACTTCACACATTTTCTATTTAGTCTATGACAAATCACGACTAACCAAAACATCAAAGAGGACATTCATCACTTGGAAAGTCCAACTGTCGAATCCAAATCGATTACAATGTTTAATTTTAGCTGACAGGCATCATTTTCTAATCCCAATCCGCACATCACTGGCTTACATGTCAGCGCTGACCAACCAGTTACTGTACAGAAGGATTTAATATGAGCTACATTCCAGACAGTCTGAGTGAGGCGAGAACAATGACTTGGCAAAATAATTCTGCCCTGTCATGCTGTAACAGTTTCACACTGTGGCCTCATTCAGCTCTCAGACTGCCGGATAACCACCTTCATGTCACCTTCTACTCACCACTCCACTATCTCTTTTTACTCACAAGCTCACATAAAAAGGACACCAAAATGAGCAATGTGATGAAATGTCCAACACTGTGAAGCTACGCTCTTCTGTTACTAAGCAACAAAGCAGGACTGTGGTGCTGTGGTGCTG